CCCCAGCCAGCAAGGCTGGCTGGGGAATTCTGGGAGTTGAAGTCCACACGTCTTAAAGTTGCATAGTTTGAAAGACACTGGCTTAGGCTATTGTCAACTTTGGGACCAACTCTAGAGGGACCCCACTTGCCCAACGCTGTCTAACCAGGATGGATGACTATGGATCTACCAGAAAATCAAGGGGCAAGTAGGGTGGTGATTATAGCCACGCAACAGATCCAAATCAGCAGATTGGCTATCAAAATTCAGAAGTGCACAATCTGTGCCCTGACTCAAGAGTCCCACTGAATGTGGTAAGACACAATGAAAGAGCGAGCCAGGCCAGACCCCATGGTTTTATAAGCGTAAAGGGACTTAGAACTGACTTTGGAGAAGGTATGAGAATAGTGAAGTTTTCAAGACTGATGTCAGATCTTCAAGATAGGTCAGGTCAAGAAACCGACATTGCAGAGATTCCAGAAATGCTATTGTTGTAGGGCAGGGTAACAGCATCAAAGTCACTGGGAGGTGGGTGGCATATACATTTAATAAATAATCATAATAATTAATAATTTATGAAGATGATGATGATTTATTATCATCTTGAAAGCCTGCTTAAGTTTCTCTCCTTCCCATCTTAAACTAAACAAAATCGTGGTGGGGTTGTTACTTTCTCACGCTTCCTTTTATCTTTGGACTATGTCACCACTTGTCCAGGTCCCTCCTAACAGCTCACTCCTACCTTCCCCCAGGTCGAAATTCCTTTACAATCAGGTATTAAATGCTTTAAACTTCTGCCAGGATTAAGGACCCTGCTCCACGACTTAAACATAAAATAAAAAAGTAAAACATTGACCGAGCCACCCTTGTCAACCCAAGGTCACATTTTTGGCTTCTCCTCCTTTTGGACCATCAAAGATTGGACGGTTTGCCCCTGTTCTCTACAGTCTTAGAAAAATGTCCTTCAGAAGTCAATGGATTCATTTCTGAGCAGAAATGCACCGAATCACCCCACTAATAAGGTGGGCTGTTTGATCATTACAGCAATCAGGATATTCAATACCATAAATTGCTATTACACTTCGGTTGTCTGTGCTGAGGCATAAGCTTCAAACAATTATGTTACTACTTCATTAAAGCATTATGCTTAAGGGCCCCACGGCGCACTTCAGCTGTTTGCTCATTGTGCGTTTATGGGATCTGTACTTAATAAAAATGCTAAAACAATAGCAATATTCTTCCATTTCAGAAGAACATACTCTGTGATTAAATTTTGCAAGCTTGATTGCCTTCAGCATTTCTTTTCCATGTACCGCATTTGTAGGAACCAAGGCCGGGGCGATTTTTAACTTTGCCACGCTCTCCAAATTAGGCACGGTTCCTTGTTGATTTAAAAATCAAATTTGCTTTTCAAACAAAAGGACAGCAAAAATGCACAGCGCAGTTTCCCAGTCCAACCCGTGAATGTTAATGCACGAAGACAGATGGTACTTTTCATGGCTGGCGCAAAACTCCCCACCTTTTCATTCTCCAGGAAAGAAAATACGTTGCCCTTCTTAAAAGGGTAGGTTTGTAGGCTTAATTCACTGCATTAAGCTATTCTTTGGTTTGGGTTTGTGAACCATTCACCATAATTTGCCCAATGGGCTCATTCATACTTCAATATCCAACTGCATTTTGCTTCTCCAAACACTCTCCTTTTCGGCTTTTGTTTCCATCTGAAAAAATCATGCCGACATTTTGCTCTGTTCTGCAGACGTTTCCCCCTGTTCTAGCTCCTCACTTTGGGGCATCAACTGTGGCCCTCCAGATGTTGCTGAACTACAATTCCCAGAAGACCCAGCCAGTATGGTTAATAGTGAAGGACGTTGGGAGATGCAGTTCACCAACATCTGAAGGGCCAACCGTTAGGTACCTCTAGGCTTTATCATTAGCATTTTAATAAAGGTAATAGCAGCATTTTAGCATGGCAGCTTAACCTCCTTTTGAAGATCAGGAAACCATGTTTTTTCTTTGAGCCCACGCCATTTCCTTTGATGTGCGAAAACTAGCCCTTTCAGGAGCAACCAAACAATAGGGCTGTATTCTGAAGTCCTTGATTAAAGTTGCAAGTGTTAAAGACACGAACCCAGGTGGGAAAGGAGATGCAAGGTATTTTAGGGGCATCTGCCTTTTCTCACGTCTGACAAAACAAAGCCTTTCTTGCACATCCATGTCTTTTATTTCATTTGTTGTTTTCTGACACATCACATATATCGAATGTATGTATCATTTGTTTCTGTGCCCTATATAAAGACTTGACCACCCCCTTAATAAAAGGCCTTTTGCTTTGCCTTGTGGTTCGTATTGGGAGGTGAGGGGGCAGAAAAGCCACTTTGCAAAAGTATTGGGTGTTTCTCTCTCAAATCCAGGGACTAGGTTCTTTCCAGCTCCACACCAACTTGGGTGCCTGAGTTTTATGGGCAACATACCTTCTAAATCAGAGTTTCCCAACTTCTATGGGTTTCAACTCCCAGAATTCTCACCAAATGCCATGCTGGCTAGGGAATTCTGGGAGTTGTAGTCCACACAACTGGAGAGCATCCTTCAACTCCCAGAACTCTCACCATTCCTCATGCTGGCTAAACAGCTGAAATCCACAAATATAGAAGATGTCCAGGCTGGGAAAACTGGTCTAAAGGACAAGCAAAGCCTTTTTACCTTTGGCCATCAGGATAAATAAAAACTTAGGGAACAGGGCCTTATCCTGAGTGTACTGTTTCATCTATCCCGCACTATAGGACAGACAGATGAGTTGCGACCTTTCTTGGTGTCCTACAGAATTTTTTCCAGTCCCACCTACAAATAGAGCAGGTTCTCTCCTACTAAGGTACAGACCCCTTGCCTTAGAGCAATGTTTCTCAACCCTGGACACTTGAACATGTGTGGACTTCAACTCCCAGAATTCCCCAGCCAGCACGCATGCAGAATTCTGGGAGTTGAAGTCCACACACCTTAAATTTGCTAAGGTTGAGAAACACTGCCTCAGAGGCAGATTTCAGCAGCCCTGAAAGAGAACAACAGTTGGAGTTTCTGCTTCTTCTTTTGGGGAGCTGGAACCACACCCTCCCCATCAATTTTACTTTTTACTTTTACTTTTACTTTCTCTAAGTCTTTCCAGGCAGGCAATGGCCTCAAGACATCTAGTTTACATCTGAGAAACCTAGGGTGCTCTTAAATCCTGAACTGAACTCTTCTCTCCAATCATTTCATTTTGCCATGTAAAATCTCACTGGATTCTCCTGGCAAACAGCTGAACGACTACTGCAAAACTTAGGAATCTAAATTCACCATTCCAGGTACCTACCGGTGGTTTTATGTGGTGCCAAGAGCTTGTAACCATTTGCTTCACACCAGCCCACTGGAAATATGTCCATCGATTCCACATCGACTATATATTCAGAAGCCGGCCCATGGGGTAGACCTGTCAATGCATTATAACACAATTAACACCAGAAAGGCAGCACTGGATTTCAAAAAGAAAAAGGAAGATGTGTGGACTTCAACTCCCAGAATTCCCCAGCCAGCATGGCTGGCTGGGGAATTCTGGGAGCTGAAGTCTGCACACCTTCAAGTTGCCAAGGTTGAAAAACACTGATCTAACACAACAGAGAGAAACCAGGACACTAAATTTAAAAAGCAATTTGAGTTTGCTTCAAAGGAAATATAAGTTTAGTGTTTCGCTTACAAGGGAATATATGTCTAGTAGAATATACGTCTACATGTTTTACCAGCAGATAGGTATGTCATAATGCTCATCTCCCCAGCCGGGGAATTCAGATTGCTTTCTTCAACTTCATTCTCTGAGCTAATTTCAGCGGCATAAATATGGAAAATTACTACAGTGGACAATGAATATCTTAACAACGACTAGGAGGGGGAACCGCAGAGGTCAGTGAGGCTCAGAAGGGGTCCATCAGCACCAAAGGGTAGAGAACCCCAGCTCTAGACCCCTTCTGAAAGCCCCTCCAACTGTTTTATTCTTACGAGCAAAGTTTGGACCTGGTGAATTGACAAGTCAGAGATGGGAACAACCCTGCTCATCTGGTAGCTTGCTGGTTTTGGATACCCCTTTTCCAACTTTTAGCCATGCGGGATGGGAATCCTGGAAATTTAGTCCCAACACGTTAGCAGGCACAGAGAGAGAAGCTGCAAAACGTCCCTAAAAATGTCTGTCACAGTGGATCAACTGGCTTGCATGAATGAATGAATGAATGAATGAATGAATGAAGAAAGAAAGAAAGAAAGAAAGAAAGAAAGAAAGAAAGAAAGAAAGAAAGAAAGAAAGAAAGAAAGAAAGAAAGAAAGAAAGAAAGAAAGAACTTCAGGAATTCAGCAGGAGACAAGCAGGACAGGTTTTCCCCTTTTTCAGGCCAATGCTGCTTTTCTTCTGCTGAAAATTCACCACGCTCATAATGCCTCAAGGCCCTGCAGGGAGATTTTCCAACCTACCTTCAAAACAGAGCCACATTAGTCTGTCTTTTACGGAAGTGACGGACGCCACGCAGATCTCGGCCGGATTCCGGGGGTTCACTGCTTCAAGCATCATGTTTTTCATAAAAGCTCGACTACAGGATTCCTGAAAGGCAGCAACAGAAAACCTTTTCAATTCCCTGCTGCTGAAGGTGGTTTAAATGAGGGACAGCGACTCATCCCATTGCCCATCTCTTTTAAACAGGTGATCACTCGTTTCACATTCTCAAAAAACCCTTTTGGGCAAAAAGGACAGGGGATCCAAGTAATCTGCCCCCACTCAACTGTATGGCACTTGCAGGATACACAGGACTCTGTTTAAAACCCTGGGTTGGCTCCAGAAGAAGTTAGTGGAGCTTAAATGTCACAGAATTCAGTAGGAATTCAGTTAATCCCTGGGTAATATGACTTCCATGGAGATAAAAAGCTCAACAGACTTAGTCTAAACCCAGCCCAAGAATCTTCTGCAGCCAGAAATGTATTACCAGGAGAAGATTCAACTGACAGAGAAGCAGAGGAGTATGGAAAATACAGTGAAAGTCACCCTAGCAAGATGCTCCTAACCAATCAGTGAACCTAGTCTTGCCAACCCAGCTCCCAAAGCAGGGAATTCTAAGATTTTCAGGAAGCTGCCAAAAAATATTGGTCTTGCCCCATCAATCCTGCTTCTATCATCACCTTGATACACAAGGCTTTCTTCTTCAGATCCTAGGGTACAGGCAGAGTGCTACATAAACTGGAAAGGAGCACCCCTTTTGCTCCCTAACCCCCCCAATCCACCCCCACCCCAAGAGTTGGGCATCTTCAGCCACTCTGTTGGGGCTACAAATGAAATGCTAATTCTAATGCTTGTTCTAATTTGGCCTACTGCTGTATGTTCCTCTGCCCACGTTTCCCTCTTGGCTTTTCCTGCTCAGATGCTGAAAAATGGAAGTTAAAATCAATGTCTCTATATACCATGGAGATGTAGGATCGTTAACGGCAGTGGGCATGGGATGAGGAAGGTCACAGGGGACTAGAAAGAAAACCGGGTCTTACGTTTCTGAAGCAGCCCTCAGGAGCTGCCTCTGCTCCACATTGCTTCTGGTAATCTGCCCAGTCAAAATCTGGATTAGAATAACCTGCAGGAAATCCCAGGAGACAAACAAAAAAAAGGAAAAAAACCCTTTTCTCTCATTCTGTTTGTGTGAAGACAGAAATGGACAGCCCAGCAGCACTTTTCCCCCCAAGAATAATACAAGTATCCAGGAATCTTTATACCAGCCCTCCAAACATGGTGGAAACTTTCACTAGTTAGAGATTACGGGAAGCTTTTAAACATTATCCAACCCTTTTGATTTTTTTTGTTTAAAATGAGGCTGTCGATGGCAACCTGAACAAGCCAGCATTGTGCCGTGGTGGCAAAAAAAAGTCAAAT